AAGGGGCTTGTCTGTGGCTGATTAGGCCCATGGTTAATATATCCCTCCCTGTGTAAAGGACAGTAAATCGTCCTTTAATTTATTTAATTCACTTTGAAATTTACTAATCTTTTCCATTTATGTATGCTGGCTTTCTCTCAACTGTTGGAGACTTTCTTCTTGTTTATTTTCTTTCTCCTCCAACCACTGCTGTAGTCTCTCTTCTTGTTTCTTTTCTCGTTCTTCTTGTTTCTCTTCTTTCTCCTTCAACCACTTACTGTTGTCTCTTTTTTTGTTTTTTTCTTTTTTCCTCAAACAACTGCTGTAATCTCTCTAGTTTATTTTGCCGTTCGAGCTGCCAGTGTTGCAGGTTTTCTTGCCACTGCTGTTGTCTCTCTTCTTGTTTCTTTTCTTTTTCCTCCAACAAGTGCTGTAATCTCTGTTCTTGTTTCTTTTTCTCGTTCTTCTTGTTTCTTTTGCTGTTCTTGTATTGCTGCCATCAAATCTGCTGAGTCGTAGTTTGATTTGCCACTTCTCGTTTCCTTTTTTTTTTCCGTCCCACTCTTTGACACCAATTTGTTATGTCTCTGTTCGTTTGTTAATTTCCGGTGTAAATTCTTTCTGAGGAACTTCAGCAATAGAAGTACTTTGTTAAATAAAACAAGTTTATTCTTTCTCGATACAACTTTGCGATACACAAAATTTCCACAGTCACTTTAACATAACTATTTTTATAAACACACACTATAATTCACAGCGATTCACACACTTTACTTACGGTGCCTACTGTTCGCTTGACTCAATTATCTATCTCTATGTCTATCTATGCAATTCTATCTTTTTTCGCTGGCTTTATTTGCCGGGCTTATATACTAAAAACGAGGGTGCCTGGAACAAACTAGAGTTGCCCGGAAAATTCATCATCGTTCGAGAAACTCCAGCCTTCCACTGCCGTAACAATATACATATAATGTAACCACAAACATTATCCAAGCAGTTAAGTTAATATTTACATAAAAAAGGAATGACTGTTACAAACAGCAAGACCAAACCTATGATGAAATGTAACATATTTATAATACAAAACAAGCCTTAAACAAAATGCTGTACAAGAAAACAAAGTCACCAGGGCACAGACTATAATGTGTGTCCTGCTTTTTCGGAGGTGACTGAGGAAGTAGGACTCACATAACGGTGGGTATACACCATCTATCAGTCTTGACCGCGTTTATATATATAGATCAATTGAGGTATCTATTCTATAGTATTGTCAGTTGCAACTTCGTTAACTATTTAGGTTGCTTCCTCATTTTTTCCCTTCCCAATTCAAAGTCATTGTCTTGATAATCCATTAGTAGATCACATGTGTAACTGATATCTAAGTAAAGATAACTCAGTTTTTTTTCTTTTAATCATTACATTACTATACTTTTCTAATATTCCTTTAATTTATTGATTTATCTAATCTAAGAAAGGATATGAACAAAAATTTCTCTTACACCTGACACTTTTTAAAAACTCATCATTGAAGTATTTCAGTAACATTTCTAGTCTAATGTAATGTTACGATAGCGGAAGTCACGTGACTCTGGTAACACGTAATGAGTATCTAGAAGGTTCCTGAAGGCTCGAGACGCCCTCTATTTTGAACATATAAGACCGGCGAGAAGTGACGGCATACTAGATAATTGAATAGCAGACAGGGAGATAGAGACAGGTAATCGAGTCAAGCCGTAAGTAAAGTGTGTAAATCATTGTGAATTATAGCGTGTGTTGAAGTGAAAGTGACTGTGGAAATTAAGTGTATCGCAAAGTTGTATTGAGAAAGAATAAACTAGTTTTATTTAAGAAAGAACTTGTATCGCTAAAGTTTCATCCGAAAGAAATTATACGGGAAATTAACAAACCTGACATACTTGATGCACCATGATACCCCTGTCCACGTTGCAGAGAAAGGTCAAGGCCGTACAATTTCAATTTTGTCAAACATTGTTTTGTTAAGAGTTGCTCCAGTCAGTCCAGTGACCCCATCTTTGCAAATAACAAAATTGATGAAGTATTCAGCATGTAACGGAGGCAAAATAATATTTTTCATTATTAAAATGCCTGTAGTTTCATCTGTTATGACAGAAAAGAATTCTGCTTTTTTCACCTCATTCACAATTGTGATCTCCTGTTATGCATATTAACTTATTTTGTACTGTGTTTTGGTGCACTTCTTAGATGGATTGCAAGTGTGGAATCCACACTATCTACTCGGAATTCAAGTAGTGCACGAAAGTTGCCTGGATTGCTTTGCTCTTTGCAAGTGGAATCATCGTGGTGACCTTTTAAACGTATATTTTGACGATCACAGAGAATAATAATCTTCAGAATCGAACCCAACTCTTGTCTGTTTTCTTGGATTCGTTTCCCAACAGCTGCATCAACCTGTTGTGCAACTGTGTGGCACTTTTTTTTCCATTGTACTAAAAATGCAGCCATGTCTAACACTGCATTACAATGATACTCGCACTCAGCGTGAGATGACAGGTCTTGAGCAACATCCTTGAACTTGGTTAGAGGTTCAGAGACCAAAAACTCCTATTGGCAATAACCTGGCCTGGCAAGTAGCAAACATGGCAAACACAGTCCACATTCTTTGAATAAACTAGCCAGTTATGCTGCTCCAACCAATTACTTTGAAAACAGTGATGCTTATGTTTACCTTCTTTGTGATACAGATATAAAAAGTGTTTCTCTGATCTTAAAATTCTCTTGATAATAGTGTTAAGTCCTCCCCCAGATCTGTGCCTGTGTACATGTAATATTAATACGCAGTATTCTTTTATTCTTTAAGGGTGTACTCTTCAAAAATTAAAATGCATATGCAACAGAATAAACCAAATGCCACTACAACCAGAGTCAAACAAAAACAACTTATTAAATACTAGCTGGAGTACCTGGACAGAAATTATGCATATTCATGATTAATGAAAAGTTGGTTATCTTAGGACATGAAAGTTTCTTCCCTTGTGTGTAATTGTAAAAAAACGCAAAAATGCCCATAAAAACTGCAAAACACAACATGTGAAACCACAAATTTGAATGTATCTCCCCATTGATTCAACTTCGTGCCAAATTTGGTGAAGATCCATCAACAGAGGGCGAAGTAGTGGTAAAAAAGCAAAAGCACCTATAAAAACCACAAAATGCAAAACTGAAAATTTGTAAGTATCTCCCCCTGGACCCAAATGAACCTTCATATTAGTTTAGATGAAGATCCATCCACAGATGATGAAATAGTTACATGGACATACAACAAATAGTACTATTATATTTATATAGATAACAACAGAAATTCAAAGAAAAATCTTAAAAACAACTAGAATACAATATTTTAAACGCTTAAAAAAAAAATAATAAACCGTGCCTGGCCAGGACTAGGTAGAAACATTAATGAACAATACAACATAAATCTCAATTAATTTTATTAAATATCAAAGGAATTAGGAAAAAGAACCAGAAGAATAAAACACCTAATTGACCAGAGAATAACACAAAACTAAACCATTTCTCAAGATCAAGAACGATATTGAGTGATAATTCTTTCTAACTATATCTTGTGAACTAACTTGTTTTCAAGATGAAGTAAGGCTTTTCATTTAGTTCTTAGGCCATGAGGTTAAGTCTCATGTGACTAGCAAATCTAGATAATATTTCACAATATTAATATCTGTACATCACTACTAGGGGAAGTTGGTGTCAGTTTCATACATACATACTCAACATCTGTGTTCTTGGCAGAAAGTTTAGGTGACAGTTTACTGACATCCAAATCTGAAGTTTCTTCTAGGGGATAAGTAGGATGTCTAGATAGGGCATCATGTAACTAGTTCTCTTTTCCTTTTCTGTGAAGTATTTCAAATATGAAATAAGTCCTTCAACTTTAATGACCAATGCATCAATCTACCAGTTAATTTCTGAGCTGTTTGTAACCATTTCAAGTTAAATATGGTCAATGATCACAGTATATTCTTCTCCATCTAGATATATTTTAAACTTTTCTACAGCCAACACTATAACTAGACATAACAAAAGAAACTCAAATCTGATATAAACCAAGTTACTTTTTATTAGTTTACAATTTCCTTAATCAGTAAAATAAATAATGGGTAAAGATAGTGCTTTTGTTTCTCGAAATGATGGTAAAGAAGGCTGTAATTGCTATACTGCTACTATACTATTACAACTAAGACTAGCAGCTAATAAGAAAACTAGAGTGTCACCAGCACAAGAAATGTCTATCCAGTGTTGTCTCAAGGCAAACAAGTGATCAGGTTTCAAGCAGTAAATTCAAAACTATGTATAAGATCTCCAGCTATGTCATTCAAACCATACATTCTGACTACTATTCAAAATGATAAAAAAACAGTGGCTGGCTTGACTTTATACAACACCCAAGTTCGTGAATAAAACATTCATAGCCAACTGAGAATGAATAACAAATAACTGAATGCAAAATAAGAAATAAAATTAATCTGAAACAAAAATTTCAAGCACTGAAGGTGGTCATCTTTACAATGTGGTTTAAAAACTTAAGCCCCACTTACTTTAACAAGATCAGTTATTTACATACTCTTCAAGATACTATATCATTTCTTCATTCATCCCAATCCATATCACTAAAGAAACAACATATACACACTCTGTGACAATGGTCAAGCTTACTTCTAGTGTACAAAAGATTCATATCAGGATGGACATTTCTTTGCTGACTGACTCTATTTAAGCCTACACGTTAGAATAACAAGTGCTATCACAAAGGATAAGGATCATGCACCTCTATTTTGCGTCCCTCAACCACCGTGCTGTTCAATTGCTCTTGTGCGCGATCAGCATCCACACTACTTGCGAAAGTTACAAAACCGAATCCCTGCATGCATAGGACGAACAAGAAAAAAAAAACATGCATTAATATCCGTGCACCTTAACAGAAGTTCCCCTGTAAAGACAAATTACAGAGACATTAAAATTCACAGTGTTCATTTAGGCGTCAGTCAGGGATTATAAGCCCTCTCAGGCATGCAGCACTTCTCGGTTTGATGTCTTCTCTGTCAGAGCTTCTATGACTGCTGGAAATCAAAAATAAAGGAGAGTTTCTGCACAAAACTGTTAGGAGCTTTTAGAAGATCAGGATGATAAAACTGTACAAAATCTTCCAGTCTCTTGGCACAAATCAAACATATTTTCATACTTTTATAATAATTTTGTGCAACTTCAAACAAAAACAGTATAAACTAAGTAGTTGGATGGTATCAAAGATTTTCTATACCTCAAAAATTTCAACTTTCATTGCATGATAATTTTATCTTGAAAATTATGTTTATCTGATTAACATTTATTTAAAAAAAAATCAATTATATTTTAAGGGAGTTTCTTTGACTGATGTTATTCAGTTAGAACAGGTATTATATAAAGTATCTCAAAGCATCAATATTTAATTTGGCTTCATGCACTCATGCTTTTTATTTCTTGAGATGAGCTGAAAGTATGCCAAGAGAGGAAGAGAGTTAGTTCAAGAAAATAATTAATAAGTTTAATGAAGTTTCTTTCTATCTTATCTGTGTTTAGATATATGAATCATACAAAACAGATAATCGTAATTTTCACAATACATTACATGCCTCTGCATGTTTTTGGGGCATCCTATACTTGCCTTGAAGTTTATACACTAGGTTTATAGAAATTTGTTGTTCATAAAGGCTATGTCACAGTGAACTGGAAAGGAAATAAAAATATTACATCATCCATATGTAATTTTGCCAGGGGACCTGTACTTGCTAAAATAGAAATTATGGTAAGTTGAGAAACAATTATAACAATGTATATTTAAGTTGCTTTTTTTTTCTTCTCTTTTTAGGAACTATATAGTGATTTCATTAATTACTCTCTTAAATCAGTAAAATTAAAATATTTAACTAAAACTTTATATACAGTCTTCAATATTTAAATGTAAATTATACAAATCAAATCTACACTCAAACAAAATGCTGCATTACAAAATTGACAATAACAAAAGCATTACAACATCAGAATATGAAGTATGTGTATATATTGTTACGACATCGAGGTCACGTAACTAGTATCACGCCACGTCGTTCTCGAACATTCACGTACTTTCCTTAAATCTCGTGATCCTTCTAGATATAGTGTAATCTTGTATATTTATAAGACCGGCCACAAGCGATGGGTAGGATGAGTAATTGAATGTATGCTGACAGAGAGAATATTGTTGGGCACGTGAGACGTTCGTTGAGAATTATAGCATTTGTTATAGAGCGACTGTTGAAATTAAGTGTATCGTAAAGTTGTATTCGGAAAGAATAAACCAGCTTTATTTAAGAAAGGACTTGTGTCGCTAAAGTTTCATCAGAACGAATTTACGGAAAATTAACTAACGAACGGAGACGTAACAAATTGGTGTCAGAAGTGGAACGAAAAAAAAAGAAATGGAAACGAGAAGTGGCAAATCAAACTACAGCTTAGCAGACTTGATGGCAGCAATACAAGAGCAGCAAAAGAAACAAGAAGAGAGAGACAACAGCAATTACAAGAAAACCTGCAACAGTGGCAGCTCGAACAGCAAAATAAACAAGAGAGACTACAGCAGTGGTTGGA